TGTTTGGTTGGTTTAGCAGGAATTTAAGATTACAGTGTTTGGTTAAAGGAATAAAAGATTATTGGAATGTATATTTTACCAAATTGTCCTTATTATATATTTGTTTTTTAACAAGTTGAATTATACTATAATTAATTTATATATTTTCTTTAAAAATTTTAAATTCATAAAATTTATATATTTTTTTCTTACAAAATTGAAAAAGATAAATAGGTTTAATGAAAGGGTAAAATTTTATTTTAACCCCTGAACTTCATATAAAATTTTAATTATAGACTTTTTTTTGTAAATCTAAAATAGTTTAAGGATAAATTTGTTGGATAACTTTCGTAGAATTTTTATTATTCAACGACAGAAGAATGATATTTTTTTTTTTAAAAATAAAGGCATTTTAGTCCAAAACGCCAGTAATCCAATAATACCTAAATGAAGGGGGTAATCACATTCCCGGTAATATACCCAAAAAAATCCATTGTTGGTAATAAAAGATTACAGGTAATAGGATTACTGGCCAACCAAACGGGGGAATGAGGATTTCATTTCATTCCCCCGGTAATATCTTATGCCGTGAACCAAACGACCCCTAATTGGCATCTCAAATGACTTATTTAAAGCTTAATTTGTGTTCATTAAACCTTATGTGTATAAAAAAGCATATGTGTATGGAAAATTAATCAGCACATTGACGGTCCATGTTTTATATTCTATAAATGATTTTTAAAATACCAGTCTATATCCTTGATTATTTTTTTAAAAAATAACAAATAAACATAATATATAATATAGTGTATTAAATAATAATTTTCTATAATAACAATGTATGATCTTAGATGGTTTTTAAAAATTATTATTTAAGATAGAAAGATAAGCAAAGAATTAGGTTTGGTCCCCAACAAATATGAAAAACAAGGGACGTAATGACACATCTTTGTCTATGAAAACGATCATCTCATGTTGGAAATATACCCAATAATTCCTAAATTACAACATTATATATATATATATATAATGGTCATGTGGTCTAAAAATTACCTAGTAAATCAAAGCAACAAGCATCACTGAGTTTGTGTGATCATGGTGTGGGTGTGTTGGGGGTGGGGCTGGGGGGGTTAAAAAGTAAAAACAAAATAATTTATTTTTAAATTTTGAGTGGATAAGGGATTTGGGATTTAATGGACCCCAACAATATTAAATGAAAATGGACCACTTTTTAAAATGGGTAAAAGATATTAGAGGTCATTGTACTATGTTTAAATAATTTTTTTGTCATTACTTTTTCAAAGGTTACAAAATGGTCCTCAAATTTATCGAATGATTGCGAAATGGTCATCAAATTTATCGAATGATTAAAAAATGATCATTGATTTATCAAATTGTTACAATTTTATCTTTAAATTATCGAACTTTGATGATTATTATAACGTCATAGTGACCATTTTATAATATTTTAGTATGATGTTATCTCCTTTCATATAATTATTTGATACATTAATAAAATAATATAGTAATTTACAAGTAAAATTAAGAAAAATATATATATGTAACATGTTAAAAGTTAAATATTTTTAAATAGTTTGGGGTAATTATAATATAGTATATGTTCAAGATTTTTCATGACTATTGATAATGTACACACCCTGCAGACGTAGTTGCTCAAACCCAACACCTCAAGGAAGAACAACACTTCCTTTAATCACTTAGGTCACTTTTTTAAAGGTTACAAAATGGTCATCAAAATTATCGAATGATTGCGAAATGGTCATCAAATTTATCGAATGATTACAAAATGGTCATTGATTGATCAAATTGTTACAATTTTATCTTTAAATTATCAAACTTTGATGATTATTATAACGTCATAGTGACCATTTTATAATACTTTAATGACATGTTGTATTTTACTCTTTAAAGTTTTATATATAGTGAGGGGGATTATTATGTTATATATTTTCTTTTAAAAAAAAGTTATAAAGGACACATGACATTGTCTTAAATTTGTTTGTGAAATTTTTTATTTCACTCTTAGTATATCAAATAATTCTTTTTATATAATCTTTAGTATAATGTTATCTCCTTTCATATAATTATTTTATATATTAATAAAACAATATAGTAAATTTTCAAGTAAAATTAAGAGAGAAAAATCTATGTAACATGTTAAATATTTTTTAATAGTCCGTGGTAATTATAATATAGTATATGTTCAAGATTTTTCATAACTATTGATAATGGACATACCCTGCAAAATTAATATTTTTTTTACTATTAATAAGATTTTTGTTTCGATTTGGGTTTTCAATTTGTTTTTTATTTAATATTTTCCCTCCAAAATTACAATTAAATGTGCACTCAATTAAGAAGAGCAATAAAAGAGCAGTTCACATATTTATGGCCTTTCATCATATAGCTTTGTTCCCACTCAAACTTCTAAAGAGACAGATGACCCCTCATGAATTATGTTTCATTTTTTTTTTTGAATTAATCACTGATATCCGATATATTGACCGACTAATCCAGATCGGGAACTGCAGAGACGATGGCAACCCTCCCAACCCAGTTTGTTCCATTCGCAAACGCTATGATTCGAACCCCTGACCTTACTTAAAGGACTTAGTATCTCATCCCACTAGACCAACTGATTGTTGGTTATGTTTCATTTCCTTAATCTAACGGTAAATTCAAGTATTTTCATATTTTATGTTTCGGTCATAGAATTATTTATGTCAAGTTTTGAATAAATTTATAATATATAATTATTTTCATAATAAAAAAAATTAACAATTATATATATATATATATATATATATATATATATAGTTATCAATCTAGATTAATATGATGGAGATATGATTCAATAATTTACATGTATAAAATGAACAATGATATTAATCATTTCAACGCCTGTATTATAAAAATACGAGAGTTAATTGCATTACATGTTCTTAAATGTATGACTCTCATTCTAAATTGGTTTTTGAATTTTTAATTGTTTCAACTTCATTCCTAAACTATGACTATCATTTTGAATTATTCTTCAAACTTTTGAACATTTCAATTTCATCCCAAACTATATGTATATACTGATCACATCCCTTGTTAATAAAATCATTAGGCCAAGTTATATTATTATATGTTTGAAACAAAAATATGGTTGAAATTACTTACATATTTGGATGAATTTATGGATGAAATTGAAATATTCAAAAGTTTAGAGACCAATTTAGAAATAGGTCATAGTTTAGGGGTGAATTTAGAATGTTCAAATGTTTAAGGACTAATTTAGAATGTGACACATAGTTTAGGGATGAAAATTTTTAGAAGTTTAAGGATCAATTTAAAATGAGGATTATAATTAGGTACATATTATGCAATTAACTTAAAATATTAATCATATAAGAAAAAATCTGAATATATACTACCTTATATTCACCTAAACTATTAAAGAATAATTAATTATACAAAAAGTTAGTTAAATGTGTAAAACAACTTTTATTTTATATTGGCGTAAGTGAATTCATCCCTAGAGGCAGATCCATGATTAGATATATACGAGGGCCGAATTATTAAAATCTTTAAGAAAAATAAAATGACCTAAATTGTTATTAGACCAAAAAATTGAGAACATTGAATTATCATTCCTTCTTTTTGTATAACGTTTCCAATCTATTGGTCGACTAATTCGGATCAGGTACTGCAAAGGCGAGAGTGACTCTCCTAACCCAGTTTGCTCTATTCACAATCCCCTACTTGATTAAATATCTAACAAATTCTTATATTTCTTAATTTAAATACTTAGTTTTACATTAACCAAAATACAATTAAATCAAAAATTATCGAACATAAAATAATTTTACTGGGCAGGGCCCTTTTGGCCCTAAGGAGCTCTTCCCCTGTTCATCCCTATTTATATATGATATAATATCCATATTACACATAATCATCCAAACCCCTAAATAAGAGGTAATTACTTTTGGGTACATACAAACTAACAACATCCAAAAAATGTCCATGGAATTAATTATATTTACTATTTGGTACATTTTTAAACGTAACAAATAAACTATCAAAACGTATTCGCAGAATTAATGCCCCATGAAGTACTTTTGAAGCAAACAAAATAAATACTAGGGACTACCATAAAAGTAGTAATAAATGAATTCAACTGATACAATAAGAGTAGTAGTAAATTTTAAGGCTGATATAATCAATACACCTAACAATAAAAGATCAAAAAGATAGTTTTATTTCAACTCTACAAAATGAAATATAATATATAAAATATAATAAAAGTGTTGCGGAATACGGCTATCGGATAGAGCAAAATCGTAACTGATAATTTGAGAAAATAAAAATGAAGATAAATAAGATACAAATTTTACGTGAAAACCCCCTAAATAATATAGGGTAAAAACCACGGGCAAAGGTAGAAGAATTTCATTATGAGAAAATAGGAATTACAACTTCTCTCGATCTAATAATGAGAAAACAATAATAATTCTCTCTTGATAAAAAGGAGAAAATAACTCTCAAGAAAACTCTCTAAATTTTTCTAGTATTGGGAGAAAGCTAAAATGATTTGGGATGATTTTGAAGCTAAATGGGTTAGGGTATTTATAGTTGAAGCTTAATGACTAATCTTGTAAATACCCTAAAGTATAGAGACTAAATGAGCAATTTTTTCATTCCACTTTTCAACCAAATCATATTGCTAAATTAGACCAAATCAGGCGTCCCATTAATGCTGTCATTTTTTTTACTTTCAACAAAAAGTTAGGGTAAAGTATATAAGATGTATACTTAAATAATCTTTTTGATGATTAATTTTTAATAGTTATAAAATGATCACTGAATTATTGTAAAACGATGGTTAAATTTTTGTAATTATTATAATATTGTAGTGACCATTTTATAAATTTTCAAAATTAAATTTTTTTTTAAACAACATTCAATTTCTCAAACCCATACATCAATGGCCGCATACAAACCGGACCCAAAGTGTTTGTATTTTATCATATAAATCAAAGTGAGAAAACCAAACCAAAACCAAAACCACAAAGAGCTCTCACATGGGGAAGAAAACGAAGCTCCCTTTCTTCTCCAAGAACACCAATGGCGGAAAAACAAAACCTTCATCGTGGCCATGGCCATCGTGTCACCAACCCAGAACTCACTCTTTCCGAACAGACGAAACGCCCGAGTCGTGGTTCTCGAACTCCTCGGAGTCTCCAAGCTTCTCGACCGCCTCCGACGAGTCCGCCACCGGGGCGGTCGTAGAATCGGTCGAGACCGTAATCCAAGGGTTAAGATTAAGATCGGAGAGGCTGTTCTTCGAGCCGAGTGAAGCCAAGTTAGGGACCGATGTCACCGAGTCAGCACCTTTCAAGGAGACGACGATTCTGTCAATGGAGTCTTTGAATCCACTCGTCGATTTCAGGGAATCCATGGAAGAAATGGTGGAAGCTCACGGGTTAAAAGACAGGGAAAGCCTTGAAGAACTCTTGGGGTGGTACTTGAAAGCTAATGGTAAAAGCAGCCATGGATATATCCTCGGAGCTTTCGTTGGTTTGCTTTTGAAAAAGGTTACCGTTTCAACGTCAAGTCCTTGTTCGCCATTGTCGTTTTACACTTCTTCTTCATCTTCTTTATCTGAAGATACTCCGACTTCTGAAACTCCATGTGAGTCTTCATTAAAATCTGATGATGATGATAATAAAACCCTTTGTTTATCTTCATTATCAGAAGAGGAGATCATTAAAGATAATGGTGTTTCTTCTTGTTCAAGCTAGATTTTTTTTTATTCTGTGTATACCACTAATTTTCAGAAATGAATATAGTGCACTTTATTTATTTATTTTCCTTCATGTTCTTTGTTTATTCATTTTCCCTCTCTTTCTTAGTTGCCAAACAGGTTTCCAATGCAATTTGCATGCCAACGTGTGTAATTAATAATAGGATTATTAACATGCATTTACTCTCTTTTTTTATTAAAACCGTACATGATTTTTTCCCAACAGTTTAAATATTGGATTTATATTCATATTATTAAATATTAATATTGTATCTAACTGCATAAATATTTATATGATTTTAATTTTTATATATCTTCTAATTATTATTATTATATATTTTTAAAATGTGTATAAATTATTTTACATGAAATTAGAGGTTTAAAAGTATATTTATGTTTTTTAATTAATCATTCGTATTTGATTTATTAATCAATTAATCCAAATCGATCATTGGAGAGGTTTATTATGGAGATGACTCTTCTAATTTTACTTGAGGAATTTTACTTGAAGTTCAACATACTACTCATTCTCTTATTAGAACAAACTGGCATGTGTGATGCTTATCCAGTTCCAACATCGATGGTCGTTTCTTCGAAGTTTAGCAAAGATGGAGGGAGCCCATTACAAGATGTTCAATTATATAGGAGTATTGTTGGAGCTCTTCTATATTTAAATCACACACGACCTGACATTTGCATATAGTGTCAACCGTGTCGCTCAATACATGCATGCGCCTTGCACTCAACACTAGGTGGCCGCGAAACGCATCTTGTGTTACTTGTGTGTGACACTTGATTATGGTTTAGTATTTCGCAAGGCTAGATTGGGCTTACACTTGGAAGCTTTTGTGGATGCCGATTGGGCAAGCAATGTCGATGATCGTCGTTCGATATCCGGATTCAATGTCTTTCTTGGAGGTAATCTCGTGTCTTGGGGTTCCAAGCGTCAACGATCGATCTCTTGATCGACTACTGAGGTCGAATACCATGCATTGGCTGATGTTGTGGCTAATGTTGTTTGAATCCAAGCCTTGTTAACATATATGGGGATTTCGTCCTCAAGCATCCCATCATTTGGAGTGATTATACAAGTGCGATAGTGATGAGTGTCAATCCTGTTCTACATTATTGGTCGAAACATGTTGAATTAGACCTTCATTTCATTCATGAGAAGGTTGCTGCTGCTAGTGTTCGTGTCAATTACATTCTCTCTCAACATCAAAAGGCTGATGAATTCACTAAGCCTTTGTCTCGAGCTTATTTTTCTCTGTTTCGCTGCAATCTCAATGTCTATTGTGAAGTTCTGGAGTCTATAGACATTAGGGAGACTATTAATTGTTACATGAATAACAAATTAGTTCTCTTTTAAATTTGTGGCTACCTAACATTTCATTTGTAATAAATTCACTTTCAAATCGCAAAATATGAATTAACACGGAAAGAAATCAGAAACGTACACGTGTGACACTATGATTGACCCGATAATTAACCCATTGGATTTATCTCGCCTGATACTGTGGTGCCTAGGAATCCTAACGTACGATGGAGAGAGATCACAACCGTTGATCTTAACTGGATAGTCATTATCATCTGATGGGTACAATTCCAGCCCGGACTTGGCTTTGCCCTATATTCTTAACATAAATTGGAGAATTTTTTTATTTCATTTTTTTCACCTTTTTAGGAAAATCCAATTAATAAAGCATCTTCTATTTCAGAAATTTAAATTTTAAATTTTTCGATATATATAATTATAAGGTTTAATTATGCCCTTAGGGGGCGTTTGGTTCAGGATATCTCACATCACCGGGGGAATTTAATATCTTCCCTCGTTTGGTTAGCAAACGTTTCAAAACCCCAGTAATAAGTTATTCCCAACAGTAGTATTTTGGAGATATATTACCGGGAATGTGATTATCCATTTTTCTTAGGTATTGTTACATTCCCAGTGTTTTGGACTAAAATACCCTTAATTTTTTTTTCAAATTTTTTTTTCTTCTGTCATTGAATAAAAAATTTTACGAATGTTAAATTACAAATTTATCCTTAAACTATTTTAGATTTTAAAAAAAGTCCATAATTAGAATTTTATATGAAGTTCAATGGTTAAAATAAAATTTTACCCTTTCATTAATCCTATTTATCTTTTCAATTTTGTAAAAAAAAATTATATAAATTTTATGAATTTAAATTTTTTAAAGAAAATATATAAATTAATTATAGTAGAATTCAACTTGTTAAAAAACAAATATATAATAAAGACAATTTGGTAAAATATGTATTCCAACAATCTTTTATTTATTTAACTAAACACTGTAATCTTACATTTCTGCTATACAAACCAAACACAAAATACAACATTCCCAGTAATCCTATTCCCATCGGTAATCTTATATTCTGTGAACCAAATGACCCTTAGTCTCTATATTCTATATGATAAAATTTTCTATATCAATAATAAATGATAATGCCATTGATAATAACGAGTAAATGATCGCAAAATAATAAAATATTTTCAAGAAATAATAAACCTATATATATATATATATTTCTCAATTTATTTTTCGTTAAAAAAGTCGTATTAAAAACTTTTAATATCAAAATAAATAAGATATGAAATGAAATAAATAAAAATGAAAGTTCAAAATTGTGAAATGAAACAGATCTTTTTGCTGCATGTAAATCAGCTTTATGATAGGATACAAAATGAAATCCAGATAAAGTTAATTTAAAAAGTTAATGTCCTTTTTTGCTGAGAAATGAAAGATGTGGGGCTAATTAATGAATGCATGAACTTTGTCTAAATTCAAATTGGGGAGTAAATGCCACAAGAAAAAACAAGAGATGCAGATATTCTTTAGTTGTTAAAGTTAACAAAAGAATGTCTCTGGCATATCAAGAACAAAAAAGAGTGGTGCCTATGGAGCAAGGGACCATTTTGTTTCTATCTTCATTATCAATCCCATATATATATATATTTTAGTTTTAAACATTATGAATATAATTATATTTTTTTTAGAATTAATCACTGGTATCCGATCTATTAATCGACTAATCCAAATCAGGTACTACAGAGGCGAGGGCGATCCTCCCAACCCAGTTTGCTACATTCGTAAACGCCAGGATTTGAACCTCTGACATTGTGATGTTACAGAATTCCATATGGAATTGATCCTCCTAACTTAATTTACTCAATTCGCAAACATCCGTTTTTTAATCCAACTTTGTTTAGGCAAATAATAACAATGAATATATCCTATTGATCGAATATTGATTTCGTGAACAATGTTAACTGAAGGTATAAATTGTGTTGAATCGAACACAGCTAATGATCATGGAAAAAATATCAATTAAGTGATTATTTAAATCATATCATCTTGCATAAACTAAACAATTTCGGTGGTAAAAAAATAGTTATTATTCATTGAGATCTCAGGTTCGAGCACTATAAATGTTAAGGATGTAAACATTCAATGTCAAATAGTTGAGAGTTATATTTGAACAGATAATACTGAATTAACGTATTTGAATTCCTGTTTACCTTTGTCTTTGTTATTATGGTCTGTATGTTGAGTTGCATATATTTAATATCGAATTGAATGGTTCTATGGTTAAAGTAAAAATTAAGATGAGCGCTAAATCGAGTCGAATCAAAAGGTTTTGAGTTATTTAAGTTGACGAGTCATATTTTATAACTTAAACTTAATTTGAATTTTTCTCAAATTAAGTCGAGTTTATAAAATTTGAGTTGAGTTTTTGAGTTTCTGTTTAATTTAATTGTAAATATTTATAATATTATGATACTATTTGATTCCAATTTAAATGATTTTTTGTAATCATATACAACACATATATTTCTTCATATTTTTTTCATATATGATATGCATATATCATACAGAGCCGAGAGACTAGACTCAAATTTGAAAACTAATCCACTAATTACTAAAAATTTCGAGTTATCCGAGTTACTATTCAAGGCATTCGAGTTGTATTTTATAACTCAACTTGAACTTGAAATTTTTTCTAGTCGAGTTGAATTTATGAAATTACAACTCGAAGTCAATTCGAGTTGAGTTTTTTCGAATCTAGTTGAAAAAATCAATATTTCGAGTCGAGTCGAATGAAAAAAAATCAATTTTTCGAGTCGAGTCGAATTTTACTCACCCGAACAACCTAAAGAGAGAAGCGAAACAATGAAAATTAAGAGATAAAGAAAACAAAGCAAGGGCGACATATCATTCGATGAAAGGAACCAACAACTAATGAAAATAACACGAATATAATACAAAATTTATATAACATGAATTGTAAATTCCTCAAAATTTATATATTATTATGACACACAAAAATAGCACGAATATAATACAAATACTGTTACGGTTGTTTGGTTCGGAAATGTGAGATTCCCATGGGAATGGAATCCACATTCCCCCGTTTGGTTGGCCGAAAATCTCATTCCCGACAATATTTTATTATCAATAGTGGATTTTTTTAGGTATATTACTAAGAATGTCATTACTCCTTCCCTTGGGTATTGTTGGATTACTGGCGTTTTGGACTAAAATGCCCTTAAACTTTTTTTCTTAAAAAATATTCTTCTTCTATCGTTGAATAATAAAAATTTTACAAATGTTAAATTACAAATTTATCCTTAAACTATTTTAGATTTACAAAAAAAAATATACAATTAAAATTTTATATGAAATTCAAGGGTTAAAATAAAATTTTACCATTTCATTAAACTTTTTTATATTTTCAATTTTCTAAAAAAATATATATAAATTTTATGAATTTAAATTTTTTAAAGAAAATATATAAATATTTTTCAACTTGTTAAAAAACAAATATATAGTAAGGACAATTTGGTCAAATATATATTTCAATAATCTTTTATTCCTTTAACCAAACACGGTAATCTTACATTCCTGCTAAACCAACCAAACACAAAATACAACATTCCCAATAATCTTATTCCCTGATAATCTTATATTCCGTGAACCAAACGCACCCTTAAGATTGCCTATCTATGACGAGCTGAAGCTTACACACTTGATCTGGG